AAACGATTGGAGCCGGAATGGTGACGTTGGATGACTGTTCGCGCTATCCGAGTGTGCGAAAGAAGGCTTGGAGGTGACGTCCATTCGAAATAGCCGAGGACCAGGAAAAGCGCCCTGAGAAAGAGGATGGAGGACGACTCAGAACGAGGCTGTCGTTTGGCTCATTTAATACAGCAGGTGGTACAGAAGGAAACAATCGCATCAAGCCTTTGAGATTTCTTTAATAAACAATTATTCTGCAAGAAAAGATTACACAATGTTCTAATTGGTTCCAAAATCTAAGCTAAACCTGGAATCGCGAAGGCATAAAAACTGCTCAAATCAGAAAACAAACATGATTTTATACAAAGAAAGAGAAACAAAACATTATCGCACCTGAAGAGGGATCTCTCTAGCTTGTAAGAACTTGAGTATCAAAGAAATAAAAACTATTCGTTCGTGTCCATAGGCTTATCGCAACTGCAAAACTAAACCTAAGAAAGTTCACTAAAAGCAACTTAAATCAATCTATAAAACTGTCAATCAACGAAATTGGCGGATCAGCAGTCAATCATAACTCATGATCAGTTCAATGGAAAATAGACATAAACTGAGTTACGTAAGTTCCAATAAATTTGGCGGAAACTTTGGACGTTCAGACCAGCAAGCAAACCGGGCTAAGATTACTAAGACCTTTCGGTCGCCGTTTAAATAAGGGTTCAATGCTTTTCAAGTTAAAGGCACTCATGGGAAACATAGACCACGATCGTTACCGAGACGGTTTTGGTGAAGTAATCACAAGATCATGATTGCATCTCATGTAAATAATAATATCATAGTTGACGAATTACTCCTTAATTTTGGCGCGAAATTTCAGCGTTAATTTGTAATTTCACATGTGAAATTACAAAATTGCCATGGCGACCCTTCCGTACGTCTCAGTGTCAAGATGGCGACGAAGTTTTAAAATGCCGTGAATGAAGATGTCAGTGCACAAAAAGGCGCTTTTAGAAAACCTGAACACACAAGAGAACATCTAGAAGGATTCTAAACGGTATTTTGCCGAAACATTCTGAACTTTATAAGCAAAATTTAAGGTCTAAACATTTGAGAGAGTGGAGTTCTCGATCGATACGATCCAGGTCAAAAATCCAAGATTGCTAACGTAATTCGTCACCTATGAAAATTAATAGGTAATCAAATGGTATATTCGTGAAATTAGGGAATAATTTCACTTGCGTTTTGTCCAAATCCTTATAATTCCCGAGCCTTTAGGCTAGGGAAATTATAAGGATTTGGACAAAACGCGCGTGAAATTATTCCCTAATTTTACTCGTCACCATTTGATTACACGTACTAATACTAATAATAATAATAATAATAATAATAATAATAATTAAAGTACTTATATAGCGCTATTTGCATGAAAATGATCCATAGCGCTAATGATATAAAAAATATACAAAGTAAGTAATTGATAAACTAATTGATTAATAAAAAAATAGAAATAGTCTAACCTGCCCCAAAAGGGTAGGTCTTAAGTTTGCTTTTAAAAATACTTAATGATTGAATATCGCGCAATTCAGCGGGCAAACTATTCCACCAACATGGCGCAGTAGCATATCGGATCTGTCACCAAGCGTAGAAAGCGTTTTCTCTTTAGGCGACTCTAGTAATAGATTACTATTGGATGTAAGATTGAACAGGACTTCGGCCTAACACTATTTAAATCACCAATATATGGTGGCGTAAGTCCGTGAATTGCCTGAAAAACTAAAATTAATAAATCCGCCATGTTCATTTGTACAGTAGCATCAATCAACCGAGATCTACGTCAAATGTGAACTCCCCTGGTCTTTGTAAAGGCTAGAAAACCTTAATGGGAGTCGAATTTAGTTTGACAAAGTTTTCAAGCATGGGAAAGGTGAATGCAAACGTTTTGATATACCGTAAATGCTCGAATTAGCGCCCAGCTTTAAATAAGCGCCCCGCTTCGAATTAGCGCCCCTCCTAAGGCTCAAAATTTGTAATAAGCGCCCCCCCTCCCCCGAGAAAAAAAGTGTTTCGGTACTCGGTACGATATACGAGACGTTAGCCTGCGTAGCAAGCGTTTCCGTTTGGTTTCGAAGCAAAGAAAGACCGAGGAACGGGATTCTCGGCTTTGGCCGCGCGAGAAATGAAACAAGAGCCAAAAAATGGAAGGTTTCCTTCCTTTCTTCCCCACCCCCTCCCCCCTCTTTTACTTACGCCATTTTTCGCGCGGTCTTTAACTCTCGTTCCTCGTTCTTTGCTCCAAAACCGCACGGAAACGCTTGTTACGCAGGCTAACGAGACGTATACGGTCTATACGGTTCTTTTAAATTGTATAAACAGTAATGTCCTTTCAAAGTCGCACGGGTTTGCTTCTCATTTCCTTGATAGAAACATCCATGTGAGCACATAGCTGCTTCACTTTATTAAGTTCCTCGTAAAACTTTGCTCCCAATCGCCGGCTCCTTGTTACTGCCTTCAAAGTTCCTGGAATTACGAGGCCATATTTATGTTGCAGTTTGGTTTTAAATAGAAATAAAGATAGTGTCATTTTGAGGCTAAAAATTGATAAACGAAATAAGCGCCCCCCTCTCGCCTTAGAAAATTAAATAAGCGTCCCGGGCGCTAATTCGCGCATTTACGGTATTTGCACTGGCGCCCGGGAAAAGGGATGGTACTTGAAGTTGTGTACCCCTTACAATTACCCATGCATATACCAGTTTTGATAGAAAAGGAAGGCCTTTTGTATACCTTCCATTGAAAATGGTACACCTTTCACGTACTTACGCTGAATTCCTTTTTAAACCCCTTAATTTGAGGAAGTTAATGTAACGATACAAGAGGGAAAATCCATAAGGTGCATCTATTCAAGATTTTTTCCAGTGAAAGGCCCTTTTGAATACTCATAATAATTTCCACATTTTCATGTACCTGAAACCTGTAAAAGGTACCAGGCCTTTTCGGGCAGAGCCTCCCCATATGTATTCGTTAATTGTGAACACTCTCAGTCTACAAAAATAAACTCTGTTCTCTAGGATGAAAGCCTCTGTAGCCCCATGAGGAGTAGTTTCCATCTCTGGTTAGCAATTTCAAGTGTTTTCACTGATTAATCGATTTGTAAAACTTTCATTTTGTTAGAAACAACTCGATCCACAATTAGTATAAGCTATTTCCTTTGCAGTAGCCTTTTATAAGAACAGACGGGGAAAACTGCGTTTTATCTCGCTCTGCGCTGGGATGGGCTCCTGCTTCATGCTGTACGGAAACCGAGAAAGTTCCGGCCTGATTTTTTTTTATTTATCACAGTCGTGTTGCTCGTGTTGATAGTTCCACACTGATGTTATACATGGATGTGTAATATGTAGATTTAGCCAAGACCGTTCTTATGTGTGAACAGAAGCCGGCCTTCCGATATGGTTTTCGTGCAGGTGCAAAAGCTGTCCGATGTAGTGTGAACAGCTAACAGCCCTTTCAAATTCAACTCCAGAAAAATTCACCATCATTTGACAAATTGAACGACATGGAATAAGAGCTATGAATTTTGAAACAGCTTGTATCGTTATAAAGAGTTAAACAAAAAACATCATCTTTTTCTCAATTTTTGGCATGGATTTACTGGATTACCCTGCCAGCAGAGGTTTCTTTGCGGCATGGCTTTTAGCATACAATGTGCGGAGTGTTTCACGCCGCTGTTATTTGCTGATGATCATTTGGCTTGTTTATCCTCCCTCTCCAGGAAGTAAATAAGCCAATTTCGGTACGCGAAGCTCTTCGTACCCTGGGTACCAGCGGTTTTTCTCGCGTGCGGTGGGAATTTTCGGTGTTGGCCGAAGGCCGACACATCTTCGGCCGTAGGCGGAAGCCACGAGCGGCGAAGTAGCGAGGAAAACTTTTCGCGCGGGTCACCCTGAAACCGCGCTAGAAAAGTCTCTGGCACCCAGGGTAAGTTCTTCGTAAATGCTATTAAACTGAACCATGCCAGAAAAAATTCCCTCTGTTACCAGGGTGAATTAAGATCCTCCTCAGTGCCAACAATGCTAATCCTCTGATGATGTTATGGGGCAAACCATTTGACTTTTGAGGAGAGTATTGGTGGTTTCAGTAAAAAAAAAAAAAAAAAATCCTGCAGACTGATTACCAGGGAAACAAATCTTGCAAGGAAATATCTGAGGAAAAAAATTCCTGCCCTCAAAAAAATATCTGTCGTGCTCGAAAAAATCTTACACCGTTGTAAGTCTGGGAAAAAAAATTTCTATCTCAAGAGGTTTGGGAAAAAATTATTACAGTCATTTTTTAATCCGACGCAGAGATAGAAAAAAAAATGAATTTCTGCATTTACTATCATCATCTTCATTCTATTATCATTTTTCTTGGTAAAGCAGAAAGTGGAATTTATATAAAAGCGCTGCCCGCTAACTCAGTAAAATTTGGTCGGGATGCAAAATTTGCCTGTGTGGCAGGCACATCAATGAATGGGAGGGAGCGGGAAAAAAGGAAGAGAGGGAAAATGCATAAAGATAGGATCCTTGGACCTTTGGGCACTTGAAGTTGATGAACTGTAATTTGTAACTACATTTGGCACTGATATCACCTAAGTAGGCACAATATTACACGTCACTTCCGTAAATTCGGGAATTATTGGCACGGTCTTTTCAAGTTGTTCATCATTCAGTTCATAGACAATAATATATACTTTTTCATGAGAAAATCATCTTTACACGTCTTGGCAGAAAATCAACCTGCGATCGCCCAGTTAGGTTGTTGAGGAAAGTGTTAGGTAAAGGTTTCTTAAAACAAAACGTGTGTCTAATTTTGCCTGACCAAGTATCAACAGGTTGTCTAGGAACGTAGCCGTCACGGTCACGCAGAACCACGTGGCTAGCGTTACTTCCGGCGAACACCCCCATTGGTCAAAGAGTGGTTAAATATTTTAACAAAAACAATAGGTATTTATATAACGCATTGTCTCGCACAATACGCAAGTCAAGTTTGGTTGGTTTAGAGTACGTCATTGTCGATATATTACGCTGTGCATTCTTTTCACAATTCCCTCGGGAGGCTAATAACTACAGGTTCTGTCCTTGGGGAGTTGAACGGCTCACAAACTCTTCACGTCAACAAAGAAACCTGCGACTTGTGACCGCGACCCGTTTCAAAGCCCCAAAAACCGGCAAACCAGCGGAAAGTGAGTCAGATCAACTGCACTCGAGCAGTAAAACAGAAGTTAAGACGCATTGAGACAGAAATTTCAAGACCATCAGAGAACGACCGTAGAAGTATTTCTAAAGTTTTAAACTTGATTTTAAAACATTTATGCAGGAAAATAGCGTTACTTCACCGCTGAAGGAAGAAACGGTAACCATTGGTTGGATAACCACCATGGAAAGTAATCAAATGCCCAGGTTGGCTATATTTTTTTGGTGGCGAGAACTGATTTCCTCCTCAACAGCGCGCCGCTCATTTACTCGGCCACGTGATAATCTATGTTCTCGTACACTTTTATCCCTAACGTTGTCAAAAGGTTTTCAGACGTTCGTTAATTGTTATGGTACTTTTTGCCCACTTTTTTCCTTCCAGTGGTTGCGGTTTGGCCAGGGCACACTTTGAAAAACAGCCTCCCTCTAACCTTCGCAAGAGCAACTTCTTCCACTTCGTACTGGCGTTTTATGATCGCACGGGGCAAGCGGTGGAAATCGAACGTGCTGCGTTCGTTGGTTTCATTGAACATCTTCCTGTAAGTTTTTCTAAACATTTTGACTTTTCCACCGATAAGCAACTGTTGTCACAGCTCGAGGTTCTTGATACGTTTTTTTCTTACCCATTTCCTTGTAACAGGATCAAAAGAATGTCCGAAATGGAGCTTCGTACAGACTTCAACTTCTCTACAGCAACGGTGAGTTGTGTTGTTCATTTCCCGGCCATGTGAGTGTAGTGACGGTTCGTCGAAGTGTGTACGTACCAGACTGAGCTCGTTATCAAATTAAGAAGGACTCCGGTGGGAATATGAAATTCACTTGTGGAAAATAAGCGTCGACAGGGGAAAAGTGATCCATGGTCTTCAGAGACATATTTTGTTCCGGTGTATTAACCAGACATTGGTCGTCGGGTTTTAATACTTTAGTTGTCATCTAACGGAATGCGTCAGTCTGCGCACTCGAGTATTTACTCAAGTTGCCAAGGGACTTGCTTTTTCAAACAAAACTGTACAAGTTGTTTACTGTGCCCAAAGCATTGGTTTCAGTTGGTGACAAATGAATAAGCGAAAAATAAACATTCAAATTGGGAGAAATGTGAGAAGCTAAAACTGCAAATATAAGGGCGCGCTCGCCCTCGCAATCGTTTGTTTAATTGCCCCGTCAAAGATGCGTAGCGTGGAAAACTAATAAACTTATATACATCCCTTTAAAACTCTCACCAGGTATCAGAAGTGAACAAGACATCTTTGTTCGCCTTATTAACTCGGCAACGAAGCAGGTATATTAATGGGGTAATTAAATGTAAAATCTGACTTGTCGAAGATGAGTTGGTACCAGAAAAGTAGATATTATCATATTTTAGTTCACTACGTTTTAAATCTGGTAATTAACATTCTTTTCCAGTTCACATAAATACCAGTTTGGACGGAGAGTTCCGTTCGACCTAAAATTTGTTTGTTGGTCTCGTCTTGCAGGACATTAGTACTAGTGTAAATTTTGACCCATAAGTTCTTTCTGATGTTATTTTGACCAAGCAATTATTCCTGTCATCCGTGAGCTGAGGTTTCATAATTTTACCAAAAAACACAATGTTGTTTTTTTATCTTTAAATGGGCTTTTTAATAAGAGGGCTTCTTTTGTATGTGCCTCCCCAAAAATTATTTAGAGAAGTTAAGAATCTTCCAGGAAACCTCCAGCTTGTCTTTTTAACAATTAACAAAAACCATATATCTCTTTTGCCTTATATTAAAAGTTGATTAACTTTGTTTACTTCAGCCTATTGTATATGAAGGCCAAGACAAAAATCCAGAAATGTGCCGTGTCCTTATGACACATGAAGTTATGTGCAGGTAATTATTAATTCTTCATCCAGTTTTCAGTGTCTCAAGTTTGTTTGGCGGCTGTTGGGCCTTTTTAAAGTTCTGGAAATTTCTTGCTCATTATAGCCAAAAAAAGTGAAGTATGGTGTTGAATACTAATTATGTGTTTCATCTTTTGTCCGCCCTTGTTTATAGTCGATGTTGTGAAAAGAAATCGTGTGGTAATAAAAATGAAACCCCATCAGATCCAGTTATAGTGGACAGGTATGAAACTGTAACACTGTAATAAATGTTGTAAGATTTGTTCCCATGTGGTGTTAGCTAATAAAAAATCTTCCCTGAGGGAACTGTTTATCTTACTTGACTGATTTCATCGCCAAAATAATGCATTCCATGTCTTATTCAAACACAGTCAAAGAAACAGATTACTGGTACATTGAAATGTGTCAAGTATGGTTAATTGTTCTGTGATATTGTTCCCAGAAACAATAGCTTGGCTTAATTGGGCTCTGATGTAAACAATTTTTTGCTGAAGTTAATCCAAAAAATCATGTGAATGCTCCAATATGTCTCAATGATGTTTTGTCAATTATTTGCCTTCTCTCATATTTTCTGGGAGATATTAAAATTTATTAGGCCTTGGAAATAAGGGATTTGAGAACCAAATGAACAGTTAATGTTAAGTTTGAAGCGTTTTCAAACCTGACAAAAATGGCTAAATTAACTTAGGTTCTTGCCATGGTAGAAACAATTAGGTTTTGTTTTCTGTTTTTTTAATTACTAAATAATGAGATTTAGACACACAGTGCACCATACAAATATTTTTGTTTTCTTGGGTATTAACTTTGAATTTCTTGTTGTAGCAAGGAAAATTATGTCGCACATATGATCTGTTGACCTCGTAATTGGCTTATTAATTTGGCTAAAGAGCATTTTTAAAAAAACAATAGTCAATAGTCAAAGAGGAAAGAGTTTATATATAAGAATTGGTGTTGTCATCGAAATTTTTACAGACCCCACCCCAATTCTCATTAACCTAATTTTCTGTAAAAATGCAAATATAAAAGCTATTGTGGTTAATTAACAAGAATTGTGGAACTGACTGTCAGATGAATTTAATTTAATTGAACTTGGCTTGAAAGTTTTGAAAGAAGATTCAGTGGCAGTATTACTAAACAAAGAAAGTTGGCGGTATTTCCTGTTTGTCCCGGATGACTCACTCAGAAAAAGCTTGTTGGTGCATTTTTGTCATATTTCTTTCTTGCAAAAGTTTTTTTTATGTGATTATTTAGTAATGATTAAACCCAAGGTGATTATTCTCTTTCCTTTGCTGAAGAAGGAATCTTGAGCAAGTAATGTTATCTGAAAGTCCAAAGTAATTAAACAAAAAAATCTTGGAGTCAACTTGAAGTGTTTGCATACCTTGGATTGTTACTAAAAAAAAAAAAAATGTTGATCTTTAAGATAAATAAATTATTACCAGGTGTCACTAGAGCATCAAATAATTAATTATTAGTAGTAAATTAAAAAAGTATATGACTTTTTTTCTGCTTTCAAGAAGAAAAGTGAATTTGAGCTGACTAGAATAAACTGCTGAACATTCTCAAGTAAACTGTGTTGTGATGTAATATCATTTGTAATTGTTATGACTTTTCATTTACTTGCAGATTCTTCCTTAAATTTTTTCTCAAATGCAATCAAAATTGTCTTAAAAATGCGGGAAATCCAAGGGATATGAGGCGATTTCAGGTGAATAATATTATCAAGCTCTTATAATTTTACCTTTGGCAGTAAGCTAGTATTTATGGCAAACTTAACAGAGTCAAGAGTTCCATCTGGCTGGAGGCAAACCAGCTGGCTATTTAAAGGTGTGGCTGAGGATTTGAACTTGGGACTACCGTGAACAGATTCAGCAAGTGCTCATAGCAGGACTTTCACTTGGGCCCTTCACATTGCTAGTCCACCACTGTAACCACTTGGCCCACTGCCTTCCTATGGTGGTTTCAGATTTTCAAGTAATGGGGTACCTATTCATCCAGACCCTAAGAAAATAAGGGAGCCTGGCAAAAATGTTTCTCAGCCATGCAGGCTTTAGGCTGATTTTTGTACTATACTGGATACAGGGTTGTCACTAAGATTTCAAGTTGCTAGGTAAATACAGCAAGTAGGTGGGGAATCAAACAGCTAGGGATTGCTTAAGGTTCTATTTTTTTTCTATTTTCCAATAAAAGTAGCCAGGGGCCACGCTTAGCAGCCAGGGGAAATCCCTGGGCCCTGGCTCTTAATGACAACCCTGTGGATAGCTTTTTGTATCGACATGACAGCTGCAGTGGTACAGAACTTGGACAAGTCATTCCCACACATTGAACATTGTGCCAAAGTGACTGGTCGAGTTGGTTTGGTGACCTCATTTCCCGTCCTCATGCCTGATTTTACTTGCATTTCAGTGGTTTCCAGCCCTAGCTCCAACATGTATTTTTTCACTTCTGCTACTGTCTGAATACCAGTTCACTCTGCACCAAACTGTGGTATAGAATCTGTCCATTATGAGACACTCTACTTTTGAGATTGGCACGGTGCAGCTGCTTTCTGTTAACAGAAATCACACCAAAATCATGGTCCTCATGAGTGAACAGAAGCACTATCCGATATGGTTTTCATGCCAGGCACAAGAGCTATTTGGTATGGTACGATCATAGGCTTAATTGGTTTGGCCTAAAAATAAGTTGGGGCCTGTGCCCCTCCCCTAGTTCCAGTGGTGGTATCTATGTTGTTGTTCAATATTTTTATCCCTGGTTTAGTCTTTATTTTCTTTTGTTTTTGGGTATTGTAATTTATGATAATGAGTTTATCAAACATTACCATGTACCCAAAAACAAAAGAAAATAAAAATTAAACCAAGGATAAAATTGAACCACAACATCTACACTATATGGATTAGACCCACTGTTGTGCTCTCGTATTTATGGTGTTAAGTTTGGAAGCTCTGATTGGTGATCTGCCATAGTTTTTGAATAATTTAATAACGACATGATGTGTTCTACTTGTTATCAAGGTTCATATTTCATCCTTATTGGATCCAGTTGCTGGGATGTTGGCTTGTTCTGATAACATGTTTGTACACAACAATTCCAAGCATGGCAGAAAAAGTCGCAAAGTAGAGTCTGCATATGGTATGTGTGGTTGTACTGCTTTGTTTGGCTATATTGCATCACAGGTTAAAGGCATTCCAAACTTAAATTATGTTAAGCATGCACAAAGCTGAGTGACATTACTACGTGGTGAGATTGTGTGACCACACAACGTCTTCAAAATTGTGGTAGATGGTCTTAGCTTGGTTCAAGTGCAGTGCTAATGACACTGACTTTTTTGGAAACTAGGCAATGGGCTAGTAAGTGAAATAAATCACTAGCCCATGAGGGCAAGCCTTTGGTCCAAAAAAAGCCTAGACAAAAATTCCAGGGGGTTAGGAACCAGTCTTCTCCATTCCACTCCCTACATGTACATGGCTCTGTTTTGCGAGTCAATCTTACGATACCTCCACGGCATGGGTAGCAAGTCCTTAGTTTACATTAAATACTTATTAATATTAGAAACAAACTACTCATAAAGCTTTTTTTTAAAAAAAGAACTTCACAAGTTAAAAGAGTTTTAGAAAAGCTATTTTGTCAACTAAACTAACTGGTTTAGGGGCTAGTTGAAGCATATTTTTACTAACCCAACCTAAAGTTTCACTAGTCCAGGGCTAGTGGACTAGTGTTTATAGTGTCAAGCACTGATTTAGTGATTATGAGAAATGCACCATTTTACCAATGCCCATTTTTTGTCTTTTAGTGCGTTCCCTTTCAGTTTGCCTACCATTAATTTTTTATTTTCCATGACGTCTTATAATTTTTGATGGTATTCACGGTTTTGATTGAGAAGTCATTAATCTTTTGTGGAGGTGGGCAAGTGGAAAAAGTAGTGTCATTTAATTCTTATTTTATCAATGTACCATGCTGTTTCTACCAAGGTAGTTATGCAAGGCTCACATTTCTTGTAGCGAAAACCCACCCCATCTCCTAAAATGTCTACAAACTTTTCTTTATCTCATTTTGAACATCAATATTTATATTTTGTAGGGGGCTTAATTGAAGGGCTCCTTGAAAATAACGTCCCCTCCAAAATGGAATAAGAGGTCCAGGGGACATTTTGCCAGGGACTGGTAGTTACATGTAGGTTAAGGGGAATAATGTTATTCATATACCAAAATTACCTATCATTGTCATTTGCAGCAATTTTAGTCTCTAAGGTTGCAGTAATATTATTGCTGGTTTTCAGCTGGCATGACAGCAGCTATGCTGATGGACAAGAACAATGAAAGCACTTCCCTCTTTAGGGATCCCAACTCTTTTTTCTGACACATTCTTAGAGAAAAAGTTTATTGTTTTGTTAATAACTGTCAACATTCCATATTATTTTTTAGCATTTCCTAGCATCAAGGCCATCTGTCCAAATGAAGGATGGACGACTGGCGGAACACATGTTGTGGTCATTGGAGAGAATTTCTTTGATGGTTTGCAGGTTGTTTTTGGCTCACTTATTGTTTGGAGTGAGGTGAGGACAATGGATTTACTTACATGCATTTACCTACACTCTGTGGTGCTTTTTCATCTGGGATAGAACAATGTGCACAAAAATGTATAATCACTCTTTTTCTTCTATTTTTTCTTTATGTGAACATAATGCAAGATTGTTCATAATGTGCTGTATGTTACGAACATTCATACATGTGCATGTTTTACAAATTTGATTAATGTCATAAATATAATATTTATATAGTACGCTGTATTTTTGTCTTCAGTTCATTACACCTAGTGCTATCCGTGTGCAAGCCCCTCCCAGACCCATTCCTGGAATGGTGGAGGTTACATTAATGTACAGAAATAAACAGTTTTGCAAGACTGCACCGGGAAGATTTATCTACTCTGGTTAGTCCTCTAGCATTGATACCTAGCTAAGAAAAAACAGCTGTTTCTTACATGTAGTTTTTGTTTTTATCGTTTTATGTCACTTTCAGCTAAAGATTGCTAATACATGTAGATTTATAAGAAACCTGAAAGATTCCAAGACTAAGGTGACTTTTTTCAGCAAGCCTGCACAGTCAACCAAGAAAAGAACATGCCTTTTTCTCGTAAGAAGTCCCCACATTGTAAGGCTGCAGTGGGCTCAGTAATGACTATCGGTTTATCAACTGGTACTGTAATAACCAAAGGTTACAGAGTGCAGGCAACAATGATCGAAGGTCAAAACACTTTTGCTCCATTGTGGTGCTTTGCGTAGGTTTCAAGTGATAGATGGTCAACACATGCGCTCAGAATACAAGTGATAGAAGGTCCAAACGCACGTGATCAAATTGTGCTCTGTGCATTCCATTTATTCTTAGTGAAAGTCAAAACGAATGTTGGCTACATAACATGCTCCTCATGTTGCCTGCAATAAACAGATGCTTGCACTCTTGAAACCAGTTTGATGAGAGAAAACAAGATCGATTAGTCCAGAAGTTTCGGCTTCAGTGCATGACTTCGAAGGCTTGACTTGATTCAGGCAGAATTAAGTGGGTTCTGCTGGTAGGATATGTATTCACCAATGGCTGATAGAGTGATGTGGAAAGAAAGTGTTTGAGGAGACTCAGCTAAGGCGAATTAAAGGATGATGATGGTAGTCACTTAGTCTACTGTCACTATCAGATTGTTATTTTGTTCACTTTTTTTTCAGCCCTTTGTGAGCCTACAATTGACTATGGATTCCAGAGACTGTCAAAAATTATCCCAAGACATCCAGGTGATCCTGAAAAATTACCAAAGGTGAGACGATTTTTTTGTGTACTGTATTTGCTTTGCTGTTAGACATGACCTTGACTAACGTCCATGTTATAAGTAGAAAATAAAGTTCACTTTACTTAAGGGAGAGCATTTTGTTGTAGCTACGTTAATTTCTTTCTGTTACCCACAGGTTATTAAAAGTGTATTTATTTATTTTTTATTTTTTCACCAAACAACTGTCGCTGTTTAATAGTGAGAGTGTGGGCCATGTGATCTTTCGCTTAACTAGGATTGTAACATTATCGTACCTAAATGCGATAGCTACCCAAATGTTAATTGTATTGTTATTTGTCTTGAAAACCAATGTTGTGCTTAAGCTTCAATAAAAGCAAACCAATGAAAGGCCCAGAGTTATTACAAGGCTCAGTTTCTGGAAGAGAAGCGTTTATATTATATTAGAGAGAATTTTTTCCGTTTGAATTTGACGCTACTAATAACACGACCATTTATACTCAAATACTGTCTTACGAAACTGTTTAGTACATTCATCTTCTACGTTTTCATTGACCAAGAAAGTTGTAAAATCACTATAGCCAGCGTAGCAATCTTTTCCAAGCGAATTCCTCGAGAAAGTTGGGACGGGAGGAAAAAAGAAGGATAAAGTAGGAGGGCAGGGCAGGGGATTTTCATCGTCTCCCCTCCCTTCCCCATCTTCCCTTTCTTTTGCTCTCGCTCCAACTCTAGCGCAGGCTATCATCGCCATAGAAGGGATTTTAAGGAAGGTTTTGCAAACTGTTAGTTCTAATTCCAAATTTTCTGCTTATTTTGTAGGAAATAATTTTGAAGAGAGCCGCCGACCTGGCCGAGGCTGTTTGCTACAATATTCCGCGCACCCCAACCCAGCTTCATGGCTCTCAATACCCAGCCCCTGGGGGTCCCCCACCTACCACGGCAAGCGGTACACATTCAATGATGATTGGACAACACTTCACCGCCATCACCCCTGACGGGATACCTAATGGCGGTACCTACGTGGCTATTGCTAACCCGGAAGGTCCCTCTGTCGTTTATGGCAACTCAGGGCATGGAAACCAGCAGCAGAGAATAGCGGGTTCTACTGATGTAAACAATAATGAGGTCACCATATCCACGACAGGTACTTTTTTAAAAATTATTTTAACCCGTTAGTGCCAAGTGTGGCCAAGGGCAAAATTCATCAAAAATTCCCAAATTTCGTTTTGTAAAATTTTCGAAACAAATAGCACCATTTGGAGGTACAGGCAGAGAGGTTTCATTTGAATGGTCACATCACAGGATTTTGTCCACAGACTCAACAGTTGGAACTATTTGAAGGGGCTCCAACATTCACTGGCAATGAAAGGGTTAAATGTTAGATTCATTCCGTTAGTTGTGTTTTACTTTGACGCCAATCAGTTATTTTCTCCAGGGATAGCAGTGTATACTCGTTAGAACGTGATTTTGTATCATCTAATTTCCTTGTCTTAAAATTTGCGCCCACACGGGCAATGGATAATGCGAAGGAAGAAGTGAAGTCGTTCCCGGCCTATCATCTGGGTTACTTCACCGAAATTAATTGACCTTGCGGGTATGTTTCAAGTCTTGTGGTAGTCTGTGATCGTGCCCTCCCCATGTCTTTATTATGACTAGGACTAGGTATCGTCGGACACCTGTGAATTAAGCTCGATTCTCAGCCACTGGTCGGGAAAACAAGCTCGGGTTCCTCCCTTCTCTGTGAAAAGACCGAACTCAGAAGAGCGGAGGAGCTCAAGTCTAACTGCTTCCTCGTTATCGCTGAGCGGAGGGTCAGCGTTACCAAAGTGAGCAGGCCAGAACTGTTTTCCTCTTTAGCAGTTTAGGATGATGACTTTATCGCTAAAGAACACTGTTAATCAGTAACAACGACGGAGACGGCAACGAGAACGGAAAAACAAAAAGATTTAGATAAGCACAACAACACCTTTGCACGAGCATCGCGCTTTTTTGTACATTTCTTTGCCGTCGTTGCCCGAATAGGACGGTAAAGAACCTAATTTCACGTTTATTGGAGGACGGGAACACGAGACGGTGACATTCTTCTTCTTTTCCTGAACTTCGATACAGTCCTTTAGAATTCAACTCTAGACAAATTCGCCGACATTTCGTGAACTGAACGAGATGAAATAAGCGCGATAAAGTTTAAAGCAGCACGAATTCACTTTTCAAGTGACGTTTTAGTAGCCGTCACCTTCGTTGTTGCTTAACCCTTTAAACCCTAAGATCAAAATTAGAATTCTCAGTTGTCGCCTCTATTCATTTACTGTAAAATATCAAGCAAATGCATCTTGTGTGATCGTGTCCGTAATTCTCATGACCTGTGTTTTATAAAAAAGCATTGCAATTACAAGGAGAAATTTGATGCTGATCACTCGTAGGGTTGAAAGGGTTGAGCTCCCTTTTAGAAAAGAGAAGAAATCTTGGTCGAGTTAACTTTTGCAAAGACGTCTGGGAAAAAATTGGCCAATAGCTGACCGGCGCGTTCCCAGTAACGATCCCAGAAAAACTAGCGCGCTTTCGATATATTAAAATTCTATCATGACTCCGAGGCTTTGTGGTCATTTTTCTATATTTGGTTTGGTTTTCTTAATTCTTTGTTCTCAAGTCTCTTCTGGGAATTGCGAGACAATGGAGTCGTGAGAAATTTGCAATCTTGACCCTAACGCCTCGGAGTCACGCTAGATTTTTACTATACGCCACTTCCACATCTCTCATAATGCACCTTATTTGCCCCCCAAAATTTTGCATAACCTTTGTTTTTCATTTCTCCTGGGTGTTACAGCCGTCCCAAGAGAAATTGAAAAACAATGCTTAATCAAAATTTCTGGGGGCATTGTGGGAAATGTGGAAATGGCGTATAACGAACGTGGGCATTTACGGGACACATTTCGGTTCCAATTCCCATCTCTTTTCTTAAGTGGCCTATAATGGTGTGAGGTTCCGCGGCATAGAGCTCAGTTTGAGGCGTCGTTTTATTGTTTTCTCATGCTTTTTAATAGAAAGTAACACAACCACGTCAAGACACGTGAACATGCCGCCGCCAGGTTACCCACACAGTAGCTCATTACCAACTGAAGCGGGGCATGTTGTATCACCACCAAACTCTGAAGTCCAAGTCGCTCCCGGCACTGTTATTTCTATGTCAAGTGCAGCAAATGGCATCAATGGATTCTCCACCAGTCTTCCCCCATCAATTACTCTGCACAACATGGCAGTTCCTTCCTCGCCTGGCTTCCTTAATGGTGCAGCATGTAAGTCGTATAAAGCTTAACGGTTGTTAGGATAAAAATTCTTGTCTATACAAGATTAAGACTACAAAACAATTATTTTAATGTTGTTATTCCCAATAATCCAAATTTCACTATTTGTGTTGTTATAAATCTTTGGCTAAATAGAAATTTTAATCTGTATCAGGCTAGATATGTTAATCGTTTAGCGTAGTTGGCTAATAAAATGAGGAATATTCACGCCATATGTTTTTCTTTTCCAAGCACTAAACTATACTTTATTGCTTTCCGCCATCTTTTTCGGCGCAAGCAATATTGTAACTACATGTGCACTCGCCAAAGAAACATTGGTGGCCATATTGGTAGCCATATACGCCAGCAAAGAAAACTTGTTGGGGGAAACCTGCCAGTATTAATGGGTTTGAAAAAGCCCAGCGCTTAAAACGTGATCTTTCACATCCCTTTACGGTTACCGAGCAGCACTAAATGCTGACTTGTCTGTGAAAACCAGCGCTTTTTTCAGATTTGCTTTGAAATCTTGAAATTGACCTTTTCTCTTGTCGCCTAAAACTTATGAGTTCTTTAATATATGTGTTACAGTTGTGCCACAGTCGCCGTCCCTTCCACCCACCCCCAACAGTGTACCGCCCAATGCAAATGCAGGGATGTTTGCCTTTCCGTCCAACATGATCCAAGCCGTGAAGGAAAAGAGTGCGTTTAATCCTGTTATGAGACCGCCCAATGTGTCAGAGGGAAACCCATCCTCTGGTTCCCATAGTAACTCCGTGCAAGGTTAGCTACTAAAACTAGAAATAACCAAAGGTTAGGGAGTGCGGGCGAAACGATCGAAGGTCAAACGCTCTGTTGCTCCAACACTGTGGCTTTTGTTGCGTACGTTTCTCGTGATAGATGGCCAAAACACGCGTGATCAGATAAAGAATGATAGATGGCCAAAACACACGTGATCAGATAACGAGTGATAGAAGGTCCAAACGCGCGTAATAAGGTTGCGTTTTGTGCATTCCATTCATTTTTAGTGGAAGTCCAAATAAAGCTAGCTACATAGTTGCCGGGCATGCGTAATAGCAATCTGGAGATTAGGATTACGGGCTCCTCTTGCCGCCCTCAATGTCGTTGCGTGCGTTTCTTAAGCCTGCAGAAAAGGCGTTTTTGTTTTCGCGTTTATTCAGGCATCCCTTCCGTCGCGTGTCTTACGCTCCACACCCAGCCATGCGCTTGCCTTCGCTGACCTAAGAAACACGATAAAATAGCTCCTGTTCTGCAAGTTAGACGAAGATTGTCGTAGAGAAATACATGAATCGTGGGTTCCCCAAGATCTCTATTCTCAGAAGGAGCGAGGAAAGGACAGGAGACGTTAGTACGTGAAAGGTGCACAGCTGAAAACGACGCGTTCTTTTTCGGCTGCTTTTCCTCCCCCTCCGCCCCCCCCCCCCCCCCCCCCCCCCCCCCCCCTCTTTTTTCCCTTCCCCTTCTTCCCCCCACACCCCTCCCCCCCCCCCCCCATCCTTTTTAACCCCGCCCCTCCCCCCCTGAAATGGTTTTTTCTTCCCCTTTTTTTTTTTTTTTTAATATAATACTTAGTTTTGTTTGGTAGTTTTTTTTGTGTTGGTTTTTTTCTTCTTCTTTTACTACGCTAGCAAAAAAAAAACAAGAAAAAAGCCCAGGTCTTGCAAGTTAGACAAAGAGTTCGTAAGAAAAAAACAGGAAGCGGGGGGCCCCCAAAACCTCAATTTCCGAAAGGAGGGAGGAAAGGACGGGGAACTTTGGGACGGGAAAGGTCCCCACCCGAAAACGCGCCTTTCTTTTTCCGCCCCTTTTCCCCCCCCCCCCCCCCCCCCCCCCCTCCCTCACCCACTCCACCTTTTTTTCCCGTTACCATGTTCCCACCAAGAGCGTTGCCCCACTTTCAGAATTCGTTTGAAGCCAGCTCCTTCATCCTAGAAAGGGTTTAGTTCACTACTGTATTTTAATTATACGAATACGTACTGAGTTGTTTTGGTGATATTGTGTAGGTATGGTGTCTCCCTCGTTTGGCGGAACATATGCAATTCCTGTGAGTGCTGCAGTACAGTCCAAAACATCGAATCACGCAGGAGGTAATTCATAAAGCAAGGCTCGGGAACAGCACTGGTTGAGATCTTTCAGTCTGTTGATTGAATTTAATACACGGTATGGCGATTGATGTCGTCGACAAAACTGCTGCACAAGTTTAGATCACACAAGTCAATCTTCACAATTTCACAAGGATCGAAAAAGAACATGCAGACAACTTAGGGAAAACACTGCATTGGTGTCGTTCAAGGCTCTTGCTGTTGCTCGGAAATCCTAACAGACGAAGGAGCTTTCTCACCTCTACATATGTACTTTTCACACTTAGCAAACTGTCTTCATGGCACGAATCTTACTTCTCCAAACTGTATTTCCAGGTGTCCTCCAATAACTTAATTTTTAAACTCAGAAAGCAAAACTTGCTTTGCTACTTTTCCAGAAATTGGAAAAATTCATTTTGTGATTAAGTTAGAGAACTGCCATTAATTTGCCGCAAAGAATTATTTTGCAAAATGAGTATGAGATTTTCCGAAACTTTACGTCCCATTTTATTTCATTGTGGTACAGAACTTTCAAGACGAAATGCGCTTCTCGCGTGTGAATTCTAGTAACTTGCCAACAAATCTTTAACGTTGGAAATCTTTTTTGTACAAATTGCTTTTTTAAAATGATACCTTTTCTACTCGAATGGAATTGTAACTTATCAATAACAGAGAAATTTATGGAGTTAATGTCATAATATTTTCTAAGAACTTAATATATTTTTGTACCAGACATATTTTTCGCAAAATGTTGAGAGATGTGTGTATTTTTGGGATACAGTATCAATGACTAATAGTTTTATATAATTCCGAATTCGTAATTTATTTGGATTTGACCTATTTTGTAATGCTTCTCGCGAGCAAGAATGACATGTCAGCTTTATGTTGAGTGAATATTATTTATTTTTCTTAATGTACAGAAATACCGATCCCTATATCTTATTTCATTGTTTGATAAGTAGGAAAAGAGCCACCCTTTGACGGCTCCAACCTATTTTTCATGCCTTTCGGGTTTTTTGTTGTCGCGAAGTACTGGGTACAAAGTTGATTTTCGCCTGCGCTGCGCAGACGCTTTGACTTGCGCAGTGAGACCACGAAAGGTTGCTGTGCTGTGTACCAGGTTTTCCCTTGCGAGTATAAACAGCGCCTTTTTCGTTTTTGATAGCGACAGTTGTGAAGTTCAACGAATTTTCTTTCCTTTTATCATTCTTTTGTTTCACACGACGCTCGGCGAAAAAAGTGACATCGAAGACGACCTGAACTGAAAGGAAAATATTTTTTTATGACGTAATTTAAGGTAATATAATACTAATATGCACCAAGAAAAACTCCTTGTAATTCTCAATTCGCTGTAAATATACTTTGGTGGAGTGAAATATTTTTATCGCATGGTGTGGAATAAAAAAGGAATTTTTCAATCTTTGCCTTCTCTTGTTCTTTTACAATATAATTGCTTATTTCTTATGATATATAGCCTTCATAACCATAAATGAATTCTTTCTTAAGACACACGAGAAACTTAAATGTTAAGAGAGGCGGGTGCCTCGGACACCTGGTCGAGGATTGGTAAAATGTAGCTAAAACTTTGCATCGATACCAACGGAATAAAAAACGACGAAGCTGCGATCAGGTCTAATTTACTTCTCTCGATCTTTCGCGGGAGATTGACTTGGAGAAAGTTTTTCTATCATGTAGGAGGGCTATGTATATTACCTTGAATTCCTACTGTCCCAAGTAACAATGAAACTGAACTTAACATTGGGAAAAGGGCTGGACATTTTTTAGGTTTAAGTTACAGTCGCACTCCCACGCGCGACCACATCTCGTAAGCGACCATCTTCCATAATTGACCACCTTTCAAAAACGCACAAATTTTCCGAGTCAAATCATTTTAGTTGGAACCTCTTGTAAACGACCACGACCACGACCAATTTTTTTGGGATGACGGGTTTGAATTTTTTTTTAAAAAAAATAATAATAATCCGGCAGGGTGGTCACTAAGATTTCAAGTTGCCGGGCAAATACAACAAGTAGGCGGGGAATCAAACAGCTAGGGGTTCCTTTTAGTTCCTTTTTCTTTTCTTTTCCTTTGAAAGTAGCCGGGGACCACGTTCATAGTAATGACAGCTCTGAATCGATTTAGTGACTTGGATAGTCACAAAATTTTTAGGTTCACATAAAAGAAAATTCCTAAAAGCACCATCCAATAAATGATCCTTTGAGATCTGTCACTTGCACGAGTCTTCCACCGGCTAAGCGTGTCGCCTTCCACCCAACCGTTTTACGGAAATCGGTCCGGATTTTTTATAATAAATGTACTTTATTTTAATTAAACACTTTCCGAATTAGTGAAATCCGGAAAATGGATTGGACAAGTGCACTATCCGAGGAGAAATGGAACTGCCCAATATCCTGTCTGAATAACTCAGAAACCCAGGAAAGTTAAAATCCGAAAAAATTCCCGGAGGAGCATACCCCGAGCCTCTCAACACCTGTTTAGGAAATTGGTCAGTATTTATCCTAGACCCGCGCCTGCGCACCATATCGTTTGTGTTTTTGGAGAAGAACTGGGTGATCAACGGAATCGAAGTTTTAGCAAAGTGCAGGTGGGATAACATCTGATTGAATATTTTTGTCTTGGTTTTGACCAGCAAGATTAAAAACAGATAACAGCTGTGTAGTGCGGGAGCGATTTCGTAAAAAGCCATGTTGGAGTGAGCATTTGAATTGTTTGACCTGATTGTATTTAAACGTTCTAAGACTTTGCAAACAGCACATAACAAGGAAACAGGCACATGATTTTCAGTCGGTTCTCCGGGGGGGGGGGGGTTCTCCTGGGAATTCCGGGGGGGGGTATGCCGCCCGGTTCTCCAAATCCTGACCCTATTACAGACCAAAAAATGTCGAGTCGATATTCTAAAATCCATACCCGTTTGCGGATCTGGCCTTTAGGCAGAATTATGTCATGATTACTTATATCAGAGCGCAAACAAAAAATTTCTTCAAATGCATTTCGAATTCGCATATTTCTATTTCCTTCTTATTCACTTGAAATTGAAACGATAAATACTTTCATACGCTCCCGTAGTTCTGTCGAAAACCATATCCGATTCCATACCCCTGGGAAAAGTCTATACCCGTTTTTAGACCCAAACGGCGCAAAAACCCTAAAGGAGTTCCCAACCCCCCACCCCCCTTTCTTTTTAACATGCAATTAATTTCATTTATATCAACTTGCTTTGAATTGAGAGACAAACTTATCTCCGGAATAATTAATCCTACTGATGGTTAGAAATAAACAATGATTGATAAGTTTCAAATTATTTTAAATGTTTAATTTACAAGGAATCAATAAGTAATTTCAAGTAGCTTTTGCAATACTGTAATACTTTGTTATGGTCATGCAAATAAAGCTTATTGTTGTTGTTGTCATGTACTGGTGTGATATTGACTTTTTGATTCATATTTCTTTTAGGTATTAATTACCTCTTATTACAAGTTCTACTTTACAAGAAATTTTTGACGTCTTTCGGTTTACATTTTTATCGTTTTCTGCGCAAGCCTTGCGAAATATTTTATATTTTTAGCAAACTTTATTTGGGTCTTTTTCAATGGGCTCCTGAACAGGTAAACATAAAACGGCCTTCGAGTCCACTCCCCCGCGGTTTTGTGTACCACAACAAGACTGTCTTTTCACTATCTATGGCTCTGTACAATGACTTGATGAATGTGATAAAGGATGAGTCTTTGGTGGCTTTGTCCTGCCATCATACTTATCCAAAGCTTTATATTATGTGATTCTAATACGTGCTCAAAGAATGTGGACTGTATTAACGGCATTTGCAAGAGTGGACAATGTGATTGTGTCGGGAATTATTGGTGGGGCGATTATTGCCAGTATTGCCGAGAACGGTGAGAACTGTTTGTTTTGATCGTGACTCGCATGAATGAAAGTTATTTTTACAACTTTCATTAAGCTTATATCATGTTTTTCTTATAAGTAAACCGTACTGAAGATCTTAAGTACCCTAAACATCGCAATAACTTTATAAATTTATTCGAAAATCTTCATCCAAATATGTACGTGCTCATCAGTTCAGGTTGGCTTTTATAATATTATTGAAGCTTGTCCATCAAACAAGTTTTAATAGCAACTTGAGCTTTGTGGATGTATTCACGGCGTAGTTGTCGGGTTTTTGTTGTCATAATATTTTGCTTAACCTCGCACGATCTTTGTTCTTCAGGTCTAATAAAGGATTTTAAAGAATCTGTTTCTTATTTACTTCTTAATTTGATAAGGAAACAAAAAGTGCCTTGATTTTTGTCATACATGATGCACGTGAAATTATTTTCTAAATTAGCAATTCCTTTTAATAATTTGACAGTTGTTTGTAATAGTTTTCAACAGGCCTCACTTCTGTGTCTTTTGATCCAAAGCGACTTAAAACAAGGATGTAAAAATACTGATGATGTAAAGGAAAAACAGTAGAGTATGCAATAGTTGTGTTAGATGCCAAATTGATAGCCCCTGATCATCAAGGGTAGATATTTTATAGCTGTAAAGTTGCCATGATGGAAAGCATAACTTTCCACCCCAACATCTTTAACCCGGGATTCCATATATGATATAAGGGACCTTAAGCAAGGACGATGACGACAGCGTTCTTTCAAACTTAATCGCGTCTATTTGGACCTGCTCAAAATGTCAAATGTAGGTGACGTTTCCAGGAGTTGAATTCTTAAGGATTTTATTCAGGTTCAAAAAGAGGTTGGAAGATTCGTCATCGTATGTCCACGTCCTCCATAAAACATCAAATAAGGAGGTTTCACGTCGTAGTTGTGCAGTGGACGTCAAAGAAATATGCTTAAAAGCGTGATGCACGTGCAGAGCTGTTGTTTTGAACATTAAACCTGTTGTTTTTTTTGAAGTCATTGTTGTGGTCATCATCGTAGTTGCTTAAGCTCTCTATTACTACTACGATAGCTAAAAAAGAGCATGATCAAACTAGCTATAAAACAGTTGTAGTTATCATACAGAAAAAAATGGTTGGCAGACATACAGGATCTGGATTTGGAGCACTGGGCCACACAGCCCCAAAAAGAATTTCCAGGGGTACCCCTGCCCCCTCCCCTTCGGGCAATCAAAATGCTAGCCGAATAGTCATGATAGATTTGGAGGTGCATGCGGCATCTTTCAAGTCTTCATAGGGTTGAACCTCCACCAAGCAGCCTCCTATTAAGGTGGCTGAACACAGTTTTGGCAGTTTGTGATTATATGTCATTTGCCAAATCATGGTAAGAGAAAGGTTGCTGCTCACAAGCTGAAGCTTGGCAAGTGAAAAATGTACTGATGAAAGATTTTGATTGACAGGTAAAAATTGACATTTTCGTAGTTTCCTTGGCAACATGATTGATTAAATACAACCTTAAAATTTCACTTTTTCTCAGTTTACATAAAATTCGCTCATTCACGAATTTTACTATAAACTTGCACATAGCTTTGCTATAATTAATAATTACCATTTGAAACTTATTCGATCAAATTTTAACAGACAGGTTTTTAGATAATCAATAGTTTTTTATTGTACTGTAATTATTAAATGTGTCATAAAATCTTTCATTTTAAAGTTCTCATTACTTAAAATACGATAAAAGGAAAAATTCTGCCAAATTATATCACAAATTCTAATGAGTAGATTTTGCAAAATCATCTTCTGTGTACCATTGCTTTTTTGCCACTATGTTTGTTTGCAGTCACACAAGTTACCACTGGCCGTCTGCAAAACTGTGTTCAGCCACCTTAAATGGTCACTTTTTTTTGTTTCCCTTCATATTCAAACTTGTATGAGAGGCCAATCTACTGACTTCTGTGTGTGTATCCTTGTTGTGCAGACGCACATATGCAGAAACAAATGAACGGAAGATAACTGAAGGAAAGCAGAAATCTTTACCATCCAAATGTGCCTGGCTTATTGAGTTAAATACGTAAGTGTTACAATTAAGCAATAGACCACACTTTCTATGGGTTTACCGGCGTGATAAACCCACGCGGGATGGTGGGAGAACCCGAGAAAAGTTCGGCTCATGATTTACAAGCTTTTCGATTGTTCTCCCAACATCCCAAGTGGGTTTATCATGCCAGTAAACCCATAGAAAGTGTGGTCTAATGCTTTTATAAATAACTTTAAAGGATGTTTCAGTTTTCTATGAGTTTACCAGCACAATAAACCATAGGTTTTTAACCAGTCAGAATGCACATACTACCTAATAGTTATTTTATAAAGATGAATATAACACTAACCTTTATATACAATGAAAGTTATTTGAAATTTACATTGAGTATAGATTTGTACAAGTTTTCAGCTTTATAGGGAAGAGCTACAGTGTATATATATACTACAATAATGGTAGCATGCCAGTTGATGTGTATGCACGCCTGTTGGCAGACCACTCAAAAAAGGGCTAGAGCATTATAATCAAGGAGATCTGATATCAATTTAGAAATCCGACTTGGCATTTTATTACTAGTTATTTTCATACTGCACGGATCTTATGTTCATATCAGATCACCTAGATTACACTACAATTGTAGGTACAAGAATTAACAGTCTACCAGTAAAACTAGTATTAAATAACCATAGGTTATGGAATGTGGGCGGCAATGGCCAAACATCAAAATGCTCTTGCTCCCACACTGTGAATATATGTAAGTTTCATGCAACATACAGATTTCAAAACACAATTTTAAATCCCACAATTACCAGCCATGTGGATAGCCCATTAACTGGGGGTCAGTGTTTTGTCCACCCTCCTATAGATTGTCGTTATCAGTACCACTGGAATGTATGGTGAACAGTGTGGAAATTATGCAGGCTGATAAACAAAATTCATTGGATGAGGGTTTTGTGTCTCGAATAAATATAATCTTGACCTTGGGTACTTCAGATATCTGAAAAAAAAAAATCTAATAATTGTTTTATTATACATGTAAATTGTTGTCAAAATATAAAATAACAAACACACTGTCGTGTGGAACACAGTTTACTGACATTGCTCTATGTATTCGCTTGCAGATTACTTATCTGTAGGTAATAATGTGCTGATTTCCAAAGTTAACTGCAGGCAGTCTTAGCTTGTGAGAAGACAGATAGTGAGAACAGTATAGTAATAATGTTTAATTAAAGGAATAACGAGAATAAATACCATAATTTCCTATAAAGTTTACTGAGGCTTTTCCTTTTATCTTTTTCAGACCTAGAAATAACAGATCTATTATAGTGAACGTAAATGAATTTAATGGTGCTAGCTGTGGTAACAGACGGTTGAACATTTATGATGGAAGTTCAGTTCATTCCCCACTCCTAGCAGTTGTCAGGTAGGATTATTTGACCATCAATGGTGCTCTTCAACTTGCAAGGTTGTTCCTTTTGCACAGGAAAAAATAACGGATTCCCATTTTTGGATATTTTTAGGTATTTAAAGAATACCCACAAAAATCCCAAATTTGGAAGAGTGAGACAAGACCCAATCTGGGAACTTGGTTGGGAATTCGCTGGTTGGGACTTGTCTCACTTTGCCAAATTTGGGATTTTTATGGGTATTCTTTAAATACCCAAAAATATCCAAAAATGGGAATCCGTTATTTTTTCCTGTGTTGTATAGTCATCGGCCTATTTAGATAATGCACGTGATGGAGATCTGCTGACATTTCTTATTGATCATTGGAAATAATGGAATTGACCCTTTTGATCGATCATCGTAGATATAAAAAGACTAATTTTTATAACAATTCCTTTCTTGTGCAAGTCAAAGTACATGTCATACAAATTTTTCATTTTTTGTTTACCTTGGACCACTGTAAAAAGCTGAATTTTTTCTGTGCCTTTGGGCAATCAAATTTTTTTTGAACTTTAATTATAAGACCATTAAAAAGCCAACACATTAGACCCCATTTTTTTTGTTGCTAACAAGAAATTTTATTTTTTTCCCCACGATAATCAATGGAACATTTTTCATAATTGATTATTGCATTGCCTAAAGATTTTGAATGATGATCAAATATTGATTGGCATACCACTAGATAGCTTCCTCCTTTATCTGGATAATTCTTCAGATTACACTTAGCCTCGTCCAATAATCGCTAATTATTATTTTAGTGACATTATTTCCACTGCAACAAGAGCAAACTGGGAATTACCGCTGCTTCAGCTAAGAGCAAAATCTGGGTCAGCATTCATCGTGCTTGCAGGAAAAGAAGAAAGTTCCCATAGTGGAAACTGTTGGTTAAATATCACTTACAGGTACTAGTGAAGGGTTAGTTGGAAGAAAGCTCTGAGTGGCTAATTCTGATAAACAGCAAGATTCTCCTTGAACCTAATTAACAAAACAAACACCCACATGTAGCTTTTCAATTCCTTGTCTAATAATAATAATAATAATAATAATAATAATCTTTATTAATTCATAAGATAAAAACTACATATATGTTAAAAAACTTCCAATTTTGAACTAAGTTACATTGGAATAATTACAGGGCTATTAAATCATATCTAAGGTGATTCTTTAGTAAAGAGCCTAACATAGATTGTACTGATAAAACTTGGTACACTGATGTAACAAGTCCAAAAGATGATAAAAAAGTAATAAAAAGTGGGGGTCACCGTGCTCGTTTTGACGTCACATTATGCTGACAAATACAGCTATTTAGGACCCTTTGACAAAAACCGCGGGCTGCCCAAAACTAGACAAAAAGGAGAGATTTTTTCGATGATGCATGTGGTATCGCACAGAATTTGACTTAAATGTATTGTCTATCCACTTACGTATCAGAAAAATGCCTTTTAATGCCCTTGTTTTTACTTTACGCTCCAAAGTAGAATTAAATTGGACACGCGCTTTTCGACCCGTGATAGCTCAATCCGTACAATTTAGTATAAAAATTGCCAAAAAACTGAACAAAGATTAGTGCCAATTTTTTTCCTCATTGAAAGGAAGCACTGTCCTTATTAAAATCATGAAATAAAAAATGGGGGTTACCGTACTCATTTTTGCGGTAGAGCTGCAGAAAGTGCGCACCAAATGCATTTTCTCCGATTTTTGAGAGAGGACTGGGGCGAGTTTGAAAATAGAATGTATGTGAAAGGGGGAAGAAAGAATTAAAAAATCCATTTTTACAGAATTTACATAGAGATATCATATTTAGGACACAATTTGATAAAGAAAGTGTTTAAATGAAAATCAAAGTGAGTAAGCACAAGTTAAACATCCACCATCGAGGTTCTCAGAGAGGAAGTAGAACTCAGCAACATGCGTACTGCTTACGTTATGCACCTTTCCAACACATTGAGTCTCACCTCGGCAAGGAACAACAGCAAGCAAAAATTCCAATAGCGTTTCTCTTTAGTCAACTTCATTTAAATAATGTTAATTCACATACTCTTTTTTACGGCGGCCACCTTGTTATGCGCAGTAAGAGATGCACAGTGCAAAACCAGGGAATCACCTTAAATAACAAATAGGGGATATCACGTGGCCGTGCGGAGATGCGAAATTTCTCTCCGAGTGTTGAAAAATATTTCACAAATGAGCGCAGCGAACATTGTGAAATATTTTCAACACTTGAAGAGAAATTTTGTATCTCAAAGTGTTCATGTAAAAATTATGTTCTATTATTTATTGTATAAACACTAACGAAATACCAAACCATTTCACTTAAACAGTTTTTTTTCCTTGCAAAGGGTGCGATTTATTATGTAGCTATAGCAATGGTTATCTTTTCACATGTGAAAATAACATCTTATTTTCACGTGTGAAGATATCATGTTTTAATGCAAAAGCTCACCTGGTATATTTCATTGGTGTTTATACAATAATAAAAAATCTAAAAGTTATTAACTCATTTACAAAATACCAATAATATATTGCATATACCCTGGGCAACTTCACCACTGCTCTGCTTTATTTTTTGTGTGTACCTTTGACGTTGTAGTTTTGAAGAAGAGTGCTCCACAAAATGCCACAGTTATGGTGTGTGTGCTAAAAGGTCCAGTCAAACTTGTAAATGTGATCCTGGTTGGATGTCCAGTAACTGCAGTTTACCAACATGTCCTGTTCCATGCAATGATGGCTCATGTGATGTGAAGACTAGGAAGTGCAACTGTGCTTATGGATTTACAGGTACATGTCTGTGATTAGGTGGTAATATTAATTTTTATAAACTTCTAATTAATGTTGTGAAATAGAATTAATATGCATGTGCATGAATTAATTCAATATTTCAAACAATATTGGTATGTGTAAGCGAATGTTAGAGAATTATTTCGTACACTTTTTGTCTAAATTCTATATGATTTACCGGGTCTTGCCTTATATCATGAGCATACCTTTTGATTACCCATGAATATTATTGATTAACCATTATAATTTATAGGTGACAAATATAATGAGTTCACAAGACAAGGGGTTTCCAAACCTGGATGCCATTTTGGCACAGTAGGATTTAAAGTTGCCTTATAGCAACACTGTAATTTCACATGATGGTGAAATTATATTAACACTGAAATCTCGCACCAGAATTAAGGAATGGTTTGTCACCCATGTTATTATGTATCTGCATAATCCCCTCAATGTGGAAGTACAAGTGTGTAAACTTTCAGTATTTCCTCATGTAGACTTTTGAGCAAAACATGTTCAATTAAGCCAGGTAACATAAAATGAGCAACAGTAACAGAGAGTAACTGAAAGACTTTAAAAAAAGGCTTTAACGTCAGATTCAAGTACCTTAACTTGACTTTGACGATTCTGCTTGTGGAAAATGAAAGAAGTCTATGTAAAAAAAAATGTAGTGCCTTTCAGTGGACTGCAAGCAAAAGGGGTAGTACTGTAGCTGGTAGTGCTAGTTCTCTTGGAGTGTATGCGGTATTGTTTTATGTACTTGATGATGTTGTATTTCAGGGGAATCTTGTAACATAAATGACAACAGAAGTCATTGGAGTTCACCAGTAGCAAACAACCAAGGTATTTGCTCATGATAAAGTCATCTTTAGAGCTGCTATCATTAAAACCAAAATACAAATTAGTGTTCTAATACATTATTAAAATTTTTTACAGCATACATGTAGGAATAATTTCTGTGCTTGGTTCTCTTGACAGGACTTCTGATGTTTCGTGGAAAAAGAAGCAAAATGTCGCGGGATTTTCAGGGGCAAATTTGTGGAAAAATCGGCTGATTTCGCGGGATTTTCGCGGGGGAAAATACAAAATTCGCAGAAAAATCGGCCAATTTCGCGGGATTTTAGAGGAAAAAAGTCAAATTTCGAAGGATTTTCAGGGGCAAATTCTTAGAAAAATCGGCCAATTTCACGGGAAATTTCGGGGGGCAAACTACGCCAAGAAACAATCAGTAAAAAACAGCCGATTTCGCTGGGGTTTTTTTGGTAAATTTCGCTAAATTCGATCAATTTTGCGTCAATATGACCAGCGTTGTTTAACGTTTTTTAAACAGGGATAATCATTTGCTCTTTCAACAACAGTTCGCTCGAGAAATGAGCGAATGCTAAAGCTATTAACATTATGGTTAGTGCCCAGTTTTTCGCAACATTAATCTAAGAACGCCTGGTAGTTTTGGGACGTTGTTTACTCGTTGCAGTGACGAAGTTTCAAGATAAATTTGGACATTTGGGGTGAATAAAACAGGTCTAATAGCCAAGATAAGTATTAAATATGTTTTGCCGACATGTATTTGGAAATATTTCTGGCGGAGTTCGCGGTATTTCTCGTTTTTTGGGGAATTTCGCGGGATTTCACGGAAATACCTGAATTTCGAGGGTCCGCGACCGCGTGAAATATCAGAAGCCCTGTCTTGAAAAATCTTGAAAAGAAAATTACAGAGTCAAGAATATGTTGGGTCATTTTTGGAGAGCAAGAAGTAATGGGAGGCAGACAAAACACTAACCCGGCTTCAAGTACTTTGACTACCCCATTAGACTACCTATTGAATAGACTGTAGTGCTAGCTACATGAAGTACCTTAAACCAGTAAAATTATTCCAGATGTAGTCCTTTTGGGTGGTCCATGAGGGTAGTCTATGGACCAGGGTTCAGAGATTTGTCCACCACCATTTTCCATCTCCTTAATTTATCTCAAGACTTTCTAGATGGTGTTTCATCTCATGCAATGGCAAACATTGGAAATTATATATGGCTGTATGGTGGATTGACTTTTTCCAAAGGACCACTGGATACCCTAGCGAGGTACTTGTACATGTATTGTCATATTACACTGGTCATTTTAAACCATTATTCGAAAATAATTAAAGAGGAAACAATATGCAATGCAACCTAATTTTGGTAACATTACACTGTTAACCTTTGGTTTCATTTATTTTGCAATGTTGCCCACTCTGAAATTTTTGGAGGGAAAAAATTTCTCTTGTTAGATGTCTTGTGACCTCAAAGTAACCAATGAGAATGCACACTGTTGAAGGTTTTTTTCCAGCCATATGAAAATATTAAGTTTTATGTTTTGTTCTCTTGGGCTGAGTTGTTGAAAAGGTGGATAATGCTATCCACTGGATGAATCTGAATCTTTATCCAGCAGATAGCCCAATTGTCTTCCCTAATACTTATTTGCTGGATAGCGCTATGCAACATTTGAACAACCAGGGCCTGGTGCTGTAGCACTGAACTGTTAATTCCTCATCTTTACTGCATTGTCTCATGATATCAAATGACCTTGTTTTTTAATCAAGGTACGACATTAAGAAAAATTCCTGGGAGATTATTCAGGCTTCCAGTCAGCTAAATCAAGGACCATCAGCAAGATATGGCCATTCAATGGTGGCATTTAATGTAAGTGTAATACAGTTGACTCCCGATAATTTGAACCTTCAAGGGAAAGAGAAAATAGTTCGAGTTAATGGGAGTTCGAGTTATCGAAGGTAAAATTATATAGGAAGCGATCTGAAGGGAAATGTAAATTGCTTTGAGTTAGCGGGAGGTTTGAGTTATAGAGGGTTCGAGTTACCAGGATTTGACTTTACTTCAAATTCCTTACTTGTTATAAGTTATGGCAATTAAGGTGTCTGATCCGTGGTCAGACAAAGAAATTATTTGCTTTTAAAAATTAAGCAAAATACTTCAAAGCTAATATAACTAAAGGAACTTTCCGCATTGAAAGTTTAAGACATTACCAAATATGCTGTAAATTTACTAAAAAATTTTGAAAGTTTTCTACAAAAGTTCCAGAGTGTAAGTGTTTGAAAACTGAAAGTCTCTAGGCATTATGGTCAGCGCCATTTTTCCAGCATAAGATTACTTGGCCGTGGATGTGAAGTATTTTCAGCTAAATGAATCTCTCAGTATTCTAGGAGAAAGGAAAAGATAGTTATGGCTCATAACGGACACCTCTATGAGATGGAGATCTTGCTAAAATGGACACCAAGAGTTGGGCCGCGGCCGGCCCCTGCCTTTCTTTACTCCCTTAATTTATTTGACTCTTTATAAGAATGACACTTGGTGCCAGGCGCAAAGGTATCCATCTTAGAGAGAGAGGACTGCATGTATCCTTTCCTGTGAATCCTCTCACTGGAAAATTAAATCCCAGCAAATATAGCCGTAAAACAGTCAAAGAAGTGTGACTGTGGTGGAGGCAAAAGTGCTGTCCAAACGCCAGGGGCTAGTAGGATTACAGTACAACTTGTTGGATTAGTGATTGAGTTTCCTCTACCAGATTGATGGTTTGATTTAGAATTTCTTTTCTTAGCTCTGAGAACAGATTGTACTTAGAACAATAAATGTACCTCATTTAACTATGGCATTTTACTGTTACCTTGTGTTTATTGATTATTATTGGTTCACAGAATTCTTTGTTTGTGTTTGGTGGCATTTGCCAAGGCATTACTTCAAATGAGACTTGGATGTTTGATACTTTATCAAGAAATTGGTCTCAGCTGGATGTGAGCACCAATGCTGGCAAACCCGTGGGTGTGGTGGGACACACGGCCACTGTTGTTGGAAATGAGATGATTGTTCTCTTTGGATATAATCCTGGACAAGGATATGTGAATAAAACTCGGGTTTTGGACTTAGGTAAGTATATAGTAGGAGGCTTTTTTATTTGCAAATCTGTTAACTTTTTCACTACCAGAGAGAATGCGATCAATTTTAGACTATGAGTAGTCCCCCATTTTTCCTCAGGGATAGTAGAGCGAGCGAAACGCGAGCGCGCGTGAAAATCACCCCACTCGTAGTCTAGATCAATTTAGGTTTCTAAGAAACTGCCCACCTACCCCTCCCCTAACCCAACATTTTGCCCCATGCTGAGTGAGCCCCAAATGTTAACGTTGAGTTAGGGGATGGGTAGGTGGGCAGTTTCCCAGAAACCTTAACTGATCCAGAGAATGATGGGGTCGTTTAGTTTGATTCTAATTTTTAAGTCTTTGGATTAAGTCTTATGGTTCACTTTGGGGTCATATAAAACCTCTGGCATCATTTTTTTACGGCTTTTTCATAGTGAAATTTGGAATTTTGTTGAATTTATTTGACTTTGGTCATCACTTGGAGTGAAAGGGTTTAAAAGGTTTTACTCCCTTGAGGGGGCAGTGCATTTACAGCAGTTAAAAGGGATAAAATGTAAGATATATGTTGCAGTTAATTTTTTACCTCAGGTAATTTTTATTTTTCTTTTGTTTCAACTTAATTAGCACACATTACCATACCCAAAAACAAAAGAAAAACAAAAATTACCTGAGATAAAAAATTAACTACAACATATACAATTGGGGCACCTTTTATGTTTAAATTGGTATATAAAAGGTTAAGGGGTATGACCTCAAAGCAGAGCCTCCCCGTATAAAAGTTTTTTGAGCAACCCACTTGGGGATTTTTCTGTAACTGATAAAGTAGCTTTCCTTTCAACTTCTTGCAGTGACTAAAAAGTGGAGTGCCAAAGATCCTACCACTGGCGGTGCCAGGCCATCGTATGGCCACAGCAGTGTGTATGATCCACAAACAGGATGCATATTTGTACATGGTGGGTACAGAATGTACAACAGAACCTACCATGCACCTTCCAGCGACACATTCTGTTATCATCCGAAAAATAAGAAATGGAGTGCTCTGAATTCCAGTGGTGTTTGGAGGTATCTTCATTCAGCTGTACTGGTTGGTAATGCCATGATTGTGTACGGTGGCAGAGGGATCCACGGGTATTCGCCTCGTCCTCTCCTGGTGTTTGATATTGGTAAGTATTCAACGTACATGGGGATAGTGCAAGACCTTTCTTTATTCTTTCTTAATTTAGTGCATACTTAATTTCTTGAGTTTCCGCGCAAGAAATTGAAAGGGAGAGGGTACAAAAATCCAAAAACAAAACAAAAACAAACAAACGTAAAGGAAAACGAAACAAAACAGTGATTTATTGGGTGGAGAGCGATATCCAATGTCTGTCTTTATATGGCCTGTATTATGGTTATAGTAGGACCCATGTACCAAAGTGTCTGTAGCCTACGATGGTACTCAATCTTTGCGAGAGTTTTTGGGTTGTATATAAAAAAAGTTACTACAAAATTAAATTTCTTCTTATTTAGTCGTGTTCATCGGAAGAATTCCACTTTTGTGAAAAGAGTTTTTGAAGATTAACACAATGGCAAATCTGTGGAATTAAATACCGCTTTGTTCTGTTTTGTTTTGAATCACAAAAGCGGATGTAATACAGCTTCAAATCTTTCACGAAAAGTACGAAAAAAGAATTAGTTAGGTCAAATAAAGTGGCTTGCGAAAAAGTTCTTTACCCTAGGTGGAGTAGGGTAGCAAGGCTCTCGGGAGTTTCATTCTACTTGCCTTGTTTTTCGTTGCGCAACAGTTAAGTCATTTCTTCCTGTTTTGAGCAAAAAAATTCCGGTAACTTAATATTTCAGGTTGTTCGAATGAAGATCCGCGGTGTGGCTTCATTCAACAATTCAGCTCTAACTAGTCACCTTTCAGCGTTGTCTCATAGCAGAAGCTTTTTGATATAGTGACTAGTGGCA